CTGAACCGTTTCCCACCTTTTTTCCCCCAACTAAACGCCCTCATCGGTCAATCTGCCGTACAGCACAGGCATCGCCCTCCCTGTAGCCCGAAGGCGTCGGTTCTCAGGGGCTGAGCCGCTCTCTTCCAGCCACCGGTGCCATTTGGAGCCGGGCGGAGCGGGGGAAATGCAGAAATTATTCATTTTCCCCTCAAAAAATCCCTGCGGTCTCCCGAGTCGTGGCTGCCATCGACGTCTGCCTGGCGAGGCTGCGGTGCGTAGGGAAGCCTTAAAGCAGGGCAAGTTGGTCTCGTGGTGGGCAAGGACGGCGCTGCTGAAAGGCGAGGGCTCCGCTGGGGCTCGTAAAGCTGCCGCCACGGCGAGCAGCCCCCCCCCCGTGCTCCGGAATGGCAGGGTCGGTGCCCGGGCGCCTTCGCCCCTCTCCATGGCGCAGGGTGGGCATCGCTCCCCTTCCTTCTCCGCCCCCCAGCAGCCCCGGGGTCCCGGCCCCGGGAGGCAAGGGGGGTTCTGAGCTCCAGGCTGGGTTGTTGGGCGCGGATCCCGGCCGCAGGACTCTCCGCAGGGCTCCACGTGCCCTGTTTGGTGTCAAAAACCACGCGGAGGCTGACGGAGCCCCGGCACCTCAGCGGGGGCTCAGCTGCCCCTTGGCGGGGTTCAAACCAGCGGGAAGGGGCAGAGTTTGCCCAGATGAGGGTTGTTCCCCACCCCCACCCCCCCGTGGTATCAGCAGACAGAGCGATGCCGTATCCTGCGACAGAAGCTGCTTCGCGCCGTCGGCTCCTGCTCCAGGACTTGTCAGCCGTTTGATGCGGCCGGAGCGAGCCCAGCCTGCTGGTTTTTGGAGACCGGTGGCCTTGGGAGCAGATCCAGTGCCGTTTGGGAAGCGGTGTCAGCACGGCAGGGAGGGTAAAACACGCCGCCCGGCCTCCCTTCCTTGGGAACAGCACTCCTCTCTGGCAGGAGAGCATTTCTCCTTCCTTTTTTCCAGGCGGTCACCGCCGCCACTACTCTCGCAGTGTTTTTATCCGGCACTGACGTCATCTTTCCATGAGTTTTCCCTTGGCAAACGGAGCTTGAGCCGTTCCAAAGGGCCAACTGGATTTACGGCCTCTGGCCTCCGCCTGTGGATAGATCGCAAAGGCTTGCTGTCCCAAAAACCGGCGGCAAAATCTGGGGGGGCCCAGAGATGTTTGCAGCTGGCAGTGAAAGCCTGGGGGGCTCCCAGGGGTTGGCGAGACCCCTGAGCAGCGCCTGTAGCTCGTCACCCTCCCAGCTACAGCCGCCGGGGCGCTGGAAGGTGTCACCCCCTGAGGTCAGGCGGTTCTCAGCTGGAGCGGAGCTCTCCCTGCCAGGCTTTGCAGGGTCCTCGGGGCGCTGCCCGCTCTCCCGGGGGTGTCAGGAACCATTTTGCCTGCTGCGGGGAGAGCTTGGGGGGGGATGAGAGGTGCGGGTGTCACTGGGTCACCCCTTGGGGCGGCTCCGCATGTGTTTGGGCTCCTGGGGGAAGCGTTTCCAGTCAGCCGGCGTCCCGAAGCCAAGGGACCGGGAGCGGGAAGCAGCTGGAGATGCAAGAAGACAACCAAGGGCTGCCAAGGTCGTCTCCAGAGCGTGACCAGGGTCTCGCCATGAGGAGAACGCAAGCCCCCGGCCAAAGGGACAACGGTCGGAGCCGGGGAGAGCACCCACCACGCGTCTGGGCCATCGTAGCTTTGCCGAATCCAGCCGGAGCAGAACCGTGGGACGGAGCATGGCTGGAAGACCCAAGCGGGCCTGGAGATGTTGGCAAGGAGCGATGGCTGCCTGGGGAGGCTGCGGGCTCCAGGAGATGGCAGTGGGGGAACCGAGGGTGGGGATCGATGTGCAGTGGCTGAAAATTGGGGTATGAGCTGCCATTGGGTTT